AGAAGAGCTGCAGAGGCTGTGGCGACAGAGGCAGAACTGGACTGGACATTTCTGAACAGCTGTGGATTCGCGTTCGCCGCTATTACCACTATAGGTATGATATTTTATGATGTTTAAAGTAGCATCGTTTTAGAAGACAAAATCTAAGATGTTGAAATAGTGTTAAACAATACTTGTTATTCTCAAAGGCTCTGCATTGTTTTGACAGTTATCGGTTCTTAATGAAAGAAATATAGCTATATGTTAAGTATGAGCTTATAGAGGAATATTGCTACCTACGGCTCTATTGAGTAAAACTGAAACGAAGCCACGTATTTTTCTGTCACCTTTGTTTCGTACTCTAAACAAAGTTCTCTAAACTAAAACCGGTTTGCAAAAGTTGTTTAAGTTACATCTCAAAGGTAATTTTTTTTCGCATTATTACTAATTGTCATGTTAATTGTGATGTTTCCTATTTGTTTAGAATCTGAGAAATCACAGCCAAGTAATCATAAATGTATGTTATTTGCCGGCTTAGAGGTCCGTATAAAAACTGAAAAACTGTGACCGAGGTCTTGAAAATGAAATGTGAATTTCCTGCGGTAAATTGGCTTACAAGTTGGTTTGTTTACGGAACTTTGTCATTGAATTGGCCTACGTGCCGTCTACACACCATCGTAAAAAATCTAACGAGCAAACGAAAGAGTAACTCGGATACTAGAGAAAGAAAGATTTATTTCGAACTACTGTATGTTAGTTGCATCTAGTTCACCAGTAATGTTCTCCAACATTATTTTTCCGGTGTGAAAATTCGTGCAAAGTTTGAAGTTGTACAACAAAAACAATTTCTATCAGTGGTTGCGAATCACTCGAAGTCAAACATTTTTACCCTAAATTGAGTAGCAGAATTCGAGGAAATTCGTTAAGTGCGCTCCACGGCAATTATCTTTAATACAGCAAAGATCAGAGAGTTAAACTCGACAGCAATTGACCTTTTTTTTTTCTGAAATTGTGCGGCGAGAGAAACACAGGATTACGCGCCATTACAGCGCCGAGCTACAAACAACCAAACCAATACTCGCAACTTCAAAATACTCAATTGATTTACTTACAGTGACTTTCCTTGCCATTTTAAAGTGAATAGAGATAAACTTGCGTTGATTAATCGTCGATGGAAGTGTAAAAAGT